CCTGGTATCAAGCCTTCATCTGGGCCTCAGAAACCACTGAAAGGTACCCTTTCTGGGCGAGAAAGAAGCCCCCTCTTAGTGAGGAACGAATTCTTTGCAGGAGAAAGTTCACTGAACGCGAGTCGAAGGAATTTCTTAGCACTTATCGGAAAAGAAATACAACAAAGAAGTACATCTCGTTGATGGAATCCCATTTTCCTGCCTTTTTAACAGAACAAAACGAGGTGCTTAGGAGCTTCCAAAGACACATCTGCGCCTAGTTCATTACTGGGGATTTTTTTCTGGCACAATCTTTGTCAGAACTAGCAGTGTAATAATTATAAGAGAATGTTGAGCTAGGGAATCATAGAACACCCAAGTACACCTCGACCGAAACGTATGCACAATTTGGATGGAGCGGGAAGTCCTTCTGCATGACGAGGCCCTCCAAGGGAATGGTTATGCGAGAATTTGCTGTCAGCGCCAAACAGCGTACAACGTCTGAAGGGCTACGAACTCAAGACCGTTTACACTTATTCACCGAAAATGTAGTAGATAGCAAAACAAGAAACCAAAAACAGAATTCTATAAGCTAGTTGACTCATAGAGATAAAAGCGGATGAATCGTTACATACCCCCTTGGCAAATGGCGAAATGATAAACACCATTGCGTTCAGAGTTACGTCGTGATCCTCTAGACGGCCATCCGTAAATTGCGTACTGTCAGCTGGGTAACGCGGTACGCTGCAGTGGACGTAGGCGATCGAATAGCTGCGTGATCACCTGATTTCAGCGATTACATTTTTCTATTTTGCTGTTTTCATGCTACTGAGAATTAGAAGGTGGAGTTCAGTGCTATTTATCTGAATTTGAGGTTTTATTGTATATTTTGCTTTCAGTCGCTATTTGACTGCAGTGACGGTGTTTTTACCCACTTTTTGATTTTGTTTAGGTTTTTTTGTTTGTGCTTTGAATGTTGGACTGTTCTCCATGGCAGTGTCGTTATGTGTCCTCATTAGTACAAAAAAACCTAAACAAAATCAAAAAGTGGGTAAAAACACCGTCACTGCAGTCAAATAGCGACTGAAAGCAAAATTACAATAAAACCTTAAATTAGAGTAAATAATATGAACTCACTTTTCCTTCTAGTTAGCAGAATAACAGGCAAAATAGAAAAATTAATCGCTGAAATCAGCTGATCATGCAGCATCGATCGCCACTCCTACTGCAGCCGCCGTCGCGTCCCAGTGAAGTACGCAATTACGGATGGCCAGTCTGAGGGATCACGACTGTACGTGCCTTTGGGAGGAGCCGCGTGGGCGACATGGTGCCTTAACGCCCTTACCCTACGAATTTCTAATATACATGATGAAATTATTTTTGGATGAACTCACAATATCACCGCCATGCCAAGCTATAGTATAGTTATGAAGGATTTCCTTTGGCATGTAGAATAACGTGACCATCAAATGGGCGATGTTCATTTGAAGTAATAACGAATGCACTCGCCGTTTCTTGATCCACTGATTCCTGAAATTAGCACAAAGTGAAGGAATGTTACATTTGATCCCCGCTGTGGTCAGCTGCTTTCATAATCCTGAAGAATTTCAGTCCTTTTGAACTATTTCTTAAATTTTTTATGCCGTAGTTGCTTAGAGAATTCGAATTGATTTAAATGCGCGAACGGGAAATTTGGTATTCATATCCTCCTTCGCCCCTCCCCTCCCTACACCTTCTGGCGAAAGGCACATGCTTGACGGAAATTGAGTTACATACTTGTGGAGTATAAGGTGTATTATTGACAAGGCTGCAGTACACAGGCACACAGAAACTTCCAGAGAAGAAAGCAGATTTTTGGGCGCAGTTCGGCGACGAGGGGGCATTTTGCACTTTCACTGCTTCACTACTTCCGGTTTACAAGTCTCACTCTGGTGAAACTTGTGAACTCTTGTGAAGCTGGAGCAAGCTCGTCTAGCCACCATGGTAAAACGTGTCAACTCAAGAAAAGGCTATCTAGATGGGTCGACACATCGATGGGAAGCAAAATGCCCCCCCCCGTCGCCGAACTGCTCCGGATTTTTGAACTGGTACCAGACTCTCTCGGAAGACACACTGGTCTGTACATCACCTGCCCCCCCCCCTCCACAAGTCACCGTATAAAGCACATCGCATTCAGTAAGCCACCACAAATTTGAATGGACCGTCGCATTCAAAACAGGTACTGATAACTGGCGAATGCTTTATTCTTTTATCCCTACAGCAACACCGGAGCCAATTTACTGGTGTAGAGCGTAAACTTCCAGTCGCGGCGAATTAACTTTTGCAGACCGTGACGTACGCAACATCCGTACCAGGGTCCAACCCTTCCAACATGGCTGCGGCGCTGCGCCAGGACACTATCTCCAAGTCCAAGTCACTTCAAGTTTGGGTGGATGACGAGCGTTACTATCCAGTCCCATGGCGCGACTAGGGAGGTAGGTTCCTCACCCACCAGTCCATTTTGGGAGGCCTCCTTAACCCGGATGGAACCCATAAAGAGGGAAAGTGGTGCCTCTCATAACAATTAAATCCTCCTTGGCAGGTATTCGCAGGCCACCAAACATTCGGTAAACAATTGGTAAACAAGTTTCGTATCTGAACTCACCGGCATAAAATGAGGAACATGGAGAAATTTCCTACAAAAGCAATAATAAATACAATACTGTAGCAAAGGACAATAGAAATAATCGATGACGTCACTGTGAGATCTGGCGGTGGAATCGAACAGTTGATCATTCTGAAAAGTGATATGAATGCGGGTGAGGGCGTGGACAAGGAAACAAATCAACCTCGACAATTAAATGATAAACGAACGAAATGCGATAATAACAAAACGGAACGAGCAAAAATCATATGCCAAGCAATCCGAAGGAGTATTATGAAAATGAAGGAAACGCGAGGGTAATCACGAAATGATTTGGGTAATGAAAAAAAATGTTTTTTTATTCAATCGGCTTGGAGGCTATTATTGGCTCAGAGTATTATTCTTTTGTTTCGTTTTACTCATTTTGTTTTCATTTCCTCCCACTTCAGCTACTGCATAGATCTACTTCAGTTTTATTGCTTTTCGAGCATTACAATGTTCCCACTGATTGTTGTTTGTCTATAGTTCATGTGCCAATACCCGTATAATAAATAAATAACTAAGCAAATAGATAAATAAGTTAGTAAATAAATAAAAGTAAACAGGTAAAGGGAAGAGATATGTATGCATATATACAGAGTTGCACCTCTTTAGGATGGGCCGTACACTCGACCTCTACCCAAAGGCACATTTAGAAGTCAGCGCCAGGTACGTCCTGCCGTTGCGGAGAAATTCTACAAAATGCGACCCCCTCCCTCAAATTTCTTCCTCGGGTACGATCCCAACCCCATCCCCATCCTAGCTACCATCTCCAAACTTTTCTAACTTGCTACCGGCTTTCTACCATTTTTCCGCGTTCTTTTATTCCCAAACATTCCTCCACTTTTCTCCGAAAGACTGCCGTCGTGGAGGTGGTGTGGGCGCGAAGGGAGGGCGGGAGAGCGGGAATGTGGTAGGGAATTGGGGAAATAAGAGCACTCGGAACAGAAAAATCGAGAAAGGTCATCAACGGAAAACAGTTCTCTCAAAGGTAGGTAACTACAGCCCCCCCCTCCCCTCCCTGGGGATCTCCAAGGTACGATGGGTCCTGGTCAGTCCACTAATTCCGGAAAAAAGTAACCTGGACTACTGCGCAAGGATGTGTTTTTCAGGGTCTCGAAAGTGCGCAGGAAGCATTCCGTGAGGCCCGGTCCCACCCACGTTGTCCGTTTCGCCGTGGTGAAAATTGCACTACTG